AGATCACACATTTCACATTAGAAAATTGGTTAATTCTCCAAAAGTGTGTTCAAATATCTTTAGGTTCAAATTTAAGCAATATGTTATCAAAAAGAACAATTATTTCCTATCATTCACCTCATGCCAATTTACTGAAATTAGCAGATTCGGCCTCGTTTAGACCATTTTTTCTTAGTAAAACTGTTGAATACAGTTGCAGCCAAGTTGGACAAATTCCACATTAGGAACTAGCTGGCGCTGATGGCTCCGCAGCATTTGGGTAATTAGTTAAAAGTTCATGAAAACTATGGCAGATGTGTAAAAGCACGTGGTCCTATGATTTCATATGGAACCAAGCACACTGTCATCACTCAGATGTGAAATTAATAAAAACACAGCATCCTTTGTTCAACAGAAGTTGAACCGAGTGCAGTCACAAGTTAAGTCACACATTCATTCTACGGAACCTCTTTCCATCCAATCTGGTGTGACAATATACTGATTATCTGAAAGTGTCTAATTCTCCGCATTGTATTTTCTAGTGTCAAATTCTAGTAACTAGCTACTATCTGACAGTAAACACTTGGCTGGGGGGAAATATCCTTTTGATATGCTAAGCATGTCCTGAAACACTAATCATTATGAACAGAGAAGTCAACACAATTCATGTCCTAATGAAGATCACATATTAGCTGATTAAAAGCAAAACATGGCATCTTGGGGCACTGGGGAAAGATGACGACAGAGAAGGTTATAGGACTAAGCAGGCCATTATTTCTCAGTAAGTACTTGAACAGCTTGTAGGATATACTCCAAGGCTGGCTTTCTCTGCCTATTGAACCTTGTGCATTTTCTCACCTGAGACCATTTACAGATAGGTAGCCTGATTTCTGCTACCCAAGGATTTCCATACAGCAAGTAGGGCTGGGCAGGGGTTCCCTTTAATTTTCCAAATAACAAATGCTGTGGCAGAGAACCACAGTTTCCCACAGAAGTGTTTCCATGAGGGTCTCACAGCATAAACAGGTGCCAGCCCACGTGTCCCCTAAAGGGATTATGGAGACAGGCTGCAATTCCATCTTGGAGCTGAAATGCATCCTAAAACTGCTCAGAGAGCAAAGCTCAGCACCAACCACAGCTTTCCTTGCCACAGTGTCATACTCGTCCCTCTGCCATGGGTCACCTCCTCATCTAAACGTAATATAGGGGATCCTCCAGCTAGGAATTACCCAGCAACTAGACTTTCATTTATTCATCCTGCATGTTTGCAATGAATGGCTTCTCTGTCCCAAGAATGAGTCCAGTGGGGAAGGATGTGAGCCATAATATTGTATCTGTTGTACTGAGTTCTCCTATTGGGTGTTCTTCCCCAACTCACGCCTGACTGTCTTCATTTTCCTGGTTGCAGGGTTCACATACACAGCACTCAAATCAGGGCAGAGTTTCTCAACAACCCGCCACCCAGTAGAATCTGACTCATCTTTTCTAGGAAGATCTTCATATTTTTCTGAGAAATTCTCAAAGAGGCTTAGGTCCTCCAGAGAATGAAAAGGCATTGAAAACACATATGCAGCACATCTATCTTATTTTTAAAGGCAGTACCAGTTATTTTTCTCATAAGCCCTTACCAGTATTTATATTCAGAAATCCTCAATGTCAAGGTCTTTCCTTTCAACTCTGACTCTGAGCCTTTCTACTCTGTTTTAAGTTCATTTATGTCCATCGCAAGAAATAGTTGAAATGATCACATACACCCTTATGAAATAATCATTGTCTGGAGTAGCTACCCATAGAGCCTACCAAGATTTGTGATTGTACACAAATTGTGTACAAGCTTGTGATTGTACAAGCCGGTTTACAGATTGTACATTCCAGAGAAATCAGGGTAAGTCATGGTCAAGGAGTCCCTTTAACTAGACTGACATTCCCAGTAAACATGATGTGATAAATGGTGCTGATGGAAGCAGAACTTTCCTGGCTATTAAAGCTTCTCTGGATGTTTCCCCATCTCCTCCCCTTAGATTCAGATGCAAGGTATACCAGCAATCCGAACCCATGGTTAAAAGCTAAATAAGGCAGCCCTCTGCATTGCTAAAGGCTGGCTGACAGCTTTCATTCCTAAGCACCTCAGAGGTAAAGCGCCCAAACAACCATGTTGGTTTTAGAGAACACAGCCTCCTCCAAGACCCAGTTCATCTTCGTTCAAGTTGGCTGCGCCCTCACTCATCCTCCTTCTCCCCTCCTGGACTCTGGCTGGCTTTCCCAGTTTGAAATCTTCTGCAGCGTTTCTGGTAAACTACAAGACTTATCAACCCGCCTCCTTATCCTTGGGGGCATATTGAATATCAGAGAAAACACTGTGGAATTGGACAAGCGATTATTTTGTTCTACAATCATTTCTAATTATTTCCAAGCCGATTCTTGCTTACAGCACTTGGAGGTGATGAGGACAGAATGAGATGAATTCACCAGTTGTTACTTGATTTTCAGCGGCTTAGGAACAGAATGTGCTCTACAAGCTGCATGGTCCAAAGAATACAAAAAGAGACACAAGTCAAGGAGGAGCTTGCGCTGAGCTTAGTTGTCTTTTTACGAAACCATGCTGTTCAAGATCTCTCCAGTCATTTGCTCCAAGGTGGCTTTTTGCCTTCTCTGTCCCTGAGCAAAGGAACTTTGAGGTCACCGTGAGGTGAAGAAGAGTCAATGACCAAATGAAGCCTGTGGTTGAGAGTCTTAGGTGATAGCCATTCTTCCGAAGGCCCATACTGGCTGCTGTGGCATCTTAGTTGGGCCCTATCTTCATATGTGATTAACTGACCACCTCCATTTCAGACTTAATGCCCTGGAATCTTGGTGTCCATCCACTGCCTGAAGAGTCATGTCTGAGCCATACCCTTGTGGCATTTGTAAACCAAATGACTGCCTGGTCACGGCCATCAAGAAAGTCAACTGGCCACCACACCATATGCTGAATCTCCTAATCTTTCATTTTCCATTATTTTTCCCTTAAGGCAATCATATGTATAGCACCAAGAGTTTAGTATCACCCATCTTACTATTTTGAAGGACACGTGCATTGGTTTTTTTTTATTCATCCATTTATACATTCATTCAATAAATAGTTATAGAGGCACTGAACTCAGCACTGGTGATACAGCAGTCGATAAGACAGAGAGCTTCTATTCTGGTTGGGGAGACAGGTGATGAACAAATAAACAATAAAACATAAGATAATCACACGTTTTGAAGATGCTATGAAGCAAGTAAAGACACCAACAAGAAAAACCTGTGGCAGCTACTTAGCTTGGCAAGTTTACCACCTCAGTTTGAGAGGAAATGGGAAGGAGCACAAAATCTTTACCAGTTTAGGAGACTTTGTTGTCATGGGGTTAATCTCTCATCCTGCCCAGGAGAGGGAGATTTCACAGGTAAAGTTTGGTAAAACTCTTCTTCCTCCAGCTGCTCCAGTGAAGACCCATGTCTGGCTCTGAGGCTGCCATCTCTTGTTTTAAGTAAGTTCCAGTCTCGACAGAAGACTGCAGCTGCTGGACCAGGAGGGGCTGAGGGCAGGGGCCTCGTGGAAGCTGTTCCTGCCTTTGCCACTGAAGAGTAACACAGGCTGCTCCTCTCGAGTCAGCCACAAATGAAGTCACCCTCCTTCTCCAGAACTGATTCCACAAAAAGAGGAAGAGCCAATTCACCAAGAAGTTCATCTGTGAGGGCTCCGGAAAGGGATCCTCTCGACTGGAAGTCCTCCTGTCACACTAGTATTATTAGCCATCATCCTTGAGAATGTTCCATCATGAAGAGCAAACACCATAAACAGAATGATGGCAGCATTATCTGTATCGAGGCAGACCTCCTGAGGGCCGCTGCTGCATTCATTCTGCATTGACAGGGGACCGCTCACTAACTCTTCAATTGACTAGGCTATGGGGCATGTTATGCTAAACGTGTGTGAATTTAGATCACTTATAACAAGGATGAAGATATATATATATATATATATATATATATATGCGCTTTGTTTCTTTTTAGACAATTTGTCCTCTAAAAAAAAAAAAGACCTAGGGGGAAAAAGCCAATTTTAAAATCCTTGTAAGCTTTTATCCATTTCAAGGTAACTTTGTGTTTCAAACACACTTTTTGACTTAAATTGCTTCAAAACTATTTTATCCTCAAATGCCCAACGCGTTTTCAAAATAGAAAGATCAATGTGCCCATCAAACCTCTTCCATGAAAGGTACCCTCTGTAATCTGAACTGCATAAGCTAACCCCCCAAAATGGGATTGTTAAAGAAAATACAGGTTACCCAATTAAATTTGCATTTCAGATAAACAACAAATAACTTTTCACATCACTTTCAAAAACTGCACGGGGAATGCTTATACTAAAAATGCATTCATTGTTCTTCTGGGCTGTATTTTTATTTGCTGAATCTGGCAACCCTGACACAGAGGAAAGGTCTGACTTCCTGACAATCCGCATCACCACTCATCGCCTTCACCACCTTCCTTCCATTCCTACTGAAGCCCCGTCTTTTGACTGGGGGTGGTGAACGCACAATACGGTGCCCACAGGTTATGGAATTGCACACCTGGAACCTATATAAGTTTGTTAACCAGTGTCTCCCCAATAAAATCAATAAAAAAGGGGGTAGAGGAAATGAGAATATTGAACAATATTGAGAAAAAGTTTAAATCACTTGCCGTTGAAGAGGATTGAAAAACTCAGTTGCCACTGGCTGCATAAACAGGGGATTGGGCAACTTGTGTAAAATCTAAATATACAAACTGGATGATAAACATGCTCACTTGGAAAGATTTCTGCCATAATCAATGTGTATAAACAATTAAAATCTAGAATTTTTTGAGTGCTTAAGCCATAGAAGGTAATTCTTAAATTTCCAAGTTCTTAAGAACCAGTTAATAGCTACAAGAGACCACGCTCACAATTTATTTTGGTACTTCTATTCATTTGCTTAAATCTCACCTAATCTATTTTCTCTCTCTCCCTCTAGTTACCTGAACAAGAATAAATACCTGACAGTTATTGACAAAGATGCATTTGGAGGAGCATACAGTGGACCAACCTTGCTGTGAGTAAGACAAACAAAAGAATATGTAGACTAATTTTTCTTTTACCTTCTTTTTCTGGATGGAAAGTAGGCATTAAGGGGAGCAGCCAATGTCATGGTATGGAATATTGGTTGGGTTGGATAAAGACTTCTGATTGGACTTCTCTGCCCAGCTATACAGGCTACTGGTGGAAGAAAGTCCTTGTTCTTTGAGACTCAGGAGGCCTGGTCCCCCACCACGTCACCCTGATGCCCAGTCAGACAGCCACCTTGGTGTGGATGTTCATGGAGGCTCTCTTGTAGAAAAAAACAGACATTCTTGAACAGCTGCTATTTGCAAAATTCTAAGACACGGGATCTTGAAAAAGATGGAGAGCACTTTAGTTTGCACAGAAAACTTCTATGAACAATGCCTGGCACAAAGAGGGAAGAGTATAGATGATAGTTGTACTTGCATCTGGAAGAACTTATTGTCATTGGGGAAGATGGGATATAAATCTTTTTGAAAACAGCACAGAAAGAAGGATCTGTCTGTGCATTTGCTCTGATGTACACCTCCACGTCCAATCGGTGATCAAGTTCTGTCAGTTCGGTCTCCCTCCAGCCTCTCTATCAGTGCCGTGTTCTCATCCCCTTGGTTTGACCTTAGTTTAGAATCTCATCATTGAGCATCTCAGCCAACCCCTTGCCAGATTGGAGCACAGCTTTCTAGGAGAAGCACGAGACAATCCAGTAGATGCAAAAGGAAATATTAGAGGCTCTATGTATATTTATGCTTTTGAAAATAAGAACAAATTAAGTTTTACTGATATTTTACATACTGATGACCACTATCACTCACCCGTCAGGTGGGGAATGGATGCATCTCAAGGAAACAGTGGGTGATCCAGTCTCAAGGACTTATCCTCATTCTCACTGTTAACGATTCTACTCTACTTTTGGATGACGGGCACCCACTTACTTGAGTATATGGCCTTATTCTCTTAACACATAGGCTCCATGTAAGAGGGCAGAATGATCCGGAAAAATTACTCTTTCACATGGAGATTCATTGTAACTCATGGCAACTATTTTAAAATAGTGCTCCTTTTTCTTTTTACAAAAAGACAAGTGGAAAAAATGTGTTGACCCTCTCTGTTATTTTTTTAACATGAAATATATTTTTCAAAGACATCTGTACTCCTTCAAGATAAAAGTCATAGTTCACCAATGAATAACAAAAATTGTTGCTTTTCTAAAGAAATTTGTGACTCAGAAAGAGCCTTTACAAATAGGAATTTGAAAACTTTTTTATTTATGTAATTTTCCTGATGAAAATGGTGAATGTCACTTATAAAAATGGTTTTGTTAAAATCAGAAATTAAATGTTGACCTGGACTTAAATCTTCCCAGGAGAGCGAAGTTGCTCAGACTGAGCTGTGTGCTCAGTGAAGTAGTTGGCTTTCGCTCCAGTACGAGCTTCCTACCTTACCAAGGACTTGAACGAAGCTAACTGCTTGGTACACCACACTTTAAGTAGCACTGGATTGGAGAACAAGAGTCTCCAGTTCTCCCCTTGCCCTCCCTCTTGGTCCCTCTCCATCCCGCCAAGAAAGAGAAAAGTGAGGAATACAGAAGCAGTAATCAACACAGGAGAGAAACAGATGTGATTCCCACGAGGACCAAAAAGGGAGGTCCTGAGAATCTTGAAACCAAGGCATCTATACCAGAGCTAAGGGATGGAGAGCACCAAGAGAAAGTTCTAGAAATAAAAAGGGTTGATAGACTATTTTACAAAGACTGACCATATGAAAAACTGGTCTGAGAGGTTTTTTTATGCAACTTTGGAGCAGGGGACAAGACTAAGCCAGAGGGCCACTCAAACCAAGAGAGGTTAATGAAAAAGAGAGACAGACATCTCATAAAGAAACAAAAAAGTTTACAAGAAGGCTAATCAAATTACAATATGCAGAGTTGTATTCTAATAACTGAGGTACTGAATATGAGTTTAAGCAAATATGTCCTCAAACTATTTTAGGAGAGTACAGGGGCTAACAGGTAGATGTGTGCAGGGTGATGAGAACTGAACCCTCATATCCATAATAGGGAGTTAGTGGGTGGATTAAGAACTAATGAATCAAGGTATATTTACAATTATGGAAAAATACCAGTTGAAAGTGGTTGCTTCTTTAAAAAGCAGAATGCAAGGAGGGGCAGCTCAGGAGGCAAGCTATGTGTGCTATCAAGTTTCCAGTGTAACTTTTTTAAAAAAATAGGTCCGTGCATAATTTTAATAGAAATAAACATTAAGTATAAAAAGAAAGCCACAAGCATAGGAGGAGAGGGCAATGGAGCTGGCAGCAACTGAGAGGCAAAGAGGAGAAAAGTAAGAAATGAACAAAGGGGAGCCCAGAGTTGTCTTAAAATGCATTTGTTAACTAATCATGCACTGATATCACTTTAATTCTTACCTTGAACTTTTGTCAAAATCTTCATTATTTTATTTCCCACATATCTTCTCCTCCTAACTAGATTTTAAGATTCTAGAGGAAATGGGCTACGTCATATATTTTTGTAATCTCCCCCCGCACACACACTTCAAAAGAAAAGACAGCATGTATTCAATAAATATTTGATAAATTGTAGCTAGACATCAAACAGCCGTGATTTGGTTGTGATTTGATGTAAAAGCCAAACTGGGGCAGTATTAAACTCCATCTAAGAAGAGAATTGAATGGCATACATATTTCTGCCTCATGAAGCTACTTATGAAAAAATACAGTTGTCTCTAACAGTTGGCAAAAACAAACTTGCCCACTTAAGTTTACCACCTTATTGCAGAGTAATGTCTCAAAAAAAGAATCTAATTTTAAAGAGGTGCCACGTCTAAAGTGAGATCTTTTCTCCAAACTTTGCTATTTTTAAAATAAGCCTTTTTCATTTTATTTAATGGCATTTTATTTATTGATTTTTCATCAAGATATGCATCCTCATTTTCTATTTTTATACTTTTCATTTTTTATTATCTTTTTTTCTTTTCATCTTATTTTGAAAGAGAAGCTCTTGGTGTTTATAATCCCAGTAGAAAGAACACAGTGAAATGTAATGCCTTCCATAATAATCAGAGTTCTCTAAGGCCTAAATTATGTAACCCACACTGAGAAGCATTAACTTACTATTGAACATGACTATATTATTACAGTCCTCCTTACTATTATTAGTATCTCCAAGAAGAGGAAATCTCTGTGACAGTATCCTTGTTTACATTATAAGTATCAGTGAAAATAAACTTCAAAAATAAATTTTGTTCTTTTAGCTAATCAAACTAATTTTTGACAATCTAAGGGTCACAGCACTGCCAACTTGGTTTACAGAAAAAAATAAGTCTTCTATTTTTTTTTCTGATGTTTAATGATTGTCACAAGATCATACTGTTAGATGGCTGGAAAATTCTAACAGGGTTCTCTTGGGTATTCCTGAAGTCCACAGCTGTGTTTGAATACATGAGTTTCTAGGTCACTCACTTTACTGAGGTATAATTTATACACAATAACACACAGAGTTTTCAAGTGTACAGTCTGATGAGTTTTAGCAAAACTATCTTACCCTATGCCAGTTGAGGCTGAGAACAGTTTCATAACCCAGAAAGTTCCCTTATGCCCCGCTGTTTCACAGACACCTGCATATCTTATCTAGTATGACTAAGAGAAAAATAACCAGGTCACAGGATAAATATGTATTTAACTTTATAAGAAACACTGCCAAGCTTTTCCAGGACAGTTGTCCCATTTTCTGTTTGCACCTGTGAGGTATGGGAGGTACAGGCTGTAGCAGACTCTTCCATTTCACTGTCAACCTTCTCGAGTCTAGCCATTACTGGGTATAACGCGGCATATCATGCTGTGGCTTTACTTTGCATTTCCCTAATTGTTAATGATGTTGAGCATCTTTTCCTGTACTTCGTAGCCATTTGTATATTTTCTTTTGTCAAATGTCTGTTCAGCTATTTTACCTACTTTTAAAATTGGGTTGTTTGTCTTTTTATTGAGTTGTGACCCTGGGTAAAATAAAATCTGCTTTAGTCCTAACTACCAGCTCTCCCCAATTCTCTTTCCTGTTTCTCCTCCCTGTCTAAGAAGAAATGGCTAATTTGAAACAAACTCATGCAAGGTGTTCATTTACTCACTTATTCTACAGGCTTTTTACTGAGCACCTACTGAACGCCAGGAAAGTTAAAAGGATAAGACACAACCTCTGCTTTTAAAGAGGTTGCAATCAAATTCAGGAGAAATGTGAGTAAGTAACTATACTATAAGCTTCATGTAAAAAGAGCCATAAGAGATATTAGAGAATCAAGATATCACTTCTCGCTAGGGTAACACGTAAAGGCCTCATTTCAGGAGGTGGTATTGACATGGTCTTCAGGTGAGGGGTAGAATTGCAACAGAGATAAAATCAGGAGTGAAGGAACAAAAGGCGAGTCTAGGGATAATATAGGATGTGTTCAAAGAACAAGAGTGAGAGCGAGAGAACCAAAGAAAAACTGGCAGTTCCCAAAGTAGTCACAGAGATGTAAAGTACAGCATAGGGAATATAGTCAATAATATTGCAATAACTGTGTAAGGTACCCAGTAGACTACATGGGGAAATCACTTCGTAAGTTATATTAATGTCTAACCACTATGCTATATACCTGAAACTAATACAATATTGAATATCAACTGTAATTGGAGAAAAAGAAAAAGAAAAACATAGTTTGGGCCAAATGATAGTGTCTAAAAGTGTGTTATGCTGAAATCACATTGTGAGGAATATAACCTGACTCAGTAGGTAAGTTGACCCACCGAGGGTTACTGTAGAAATATCAGTAATGGTTGCATAACACACAGTGTGTGGCTCTCTTCGACTTGTTGCTGTGCCTTCTTTCCTTCGCCTCTTCCTGCTCTCAGCCCTGACTCTATTTGTCCTGGATACTCTGTCCCAGCTGCTGCTCCGGGCCTGCTCCTCTGCACCTCCTGGCTATTTGGCAGGCACTGGACCTCCCTCTGTGGGAGGGGAATGGAGCCTAGAGACCTAATCAGTCTGGGGTTCCTAGCTTTCCTGTGGGTACTCACCGAGCAGAGCCTTTGGAGCAGCTCGCTTGGAGAGGAAGGGACCTCTTAGGGGTGGGAACCAGAGGAGGTTTGTGGGCTAGGCTGCTCTGCTCATGGACAGTGAAGCAGAGCAGTATCAAAGATCAGCCTCTATACGGTGACCTTTAGAAAACCCACATCATTACAAGCAACCATAACAGAGACTCACATTGCTGCCGAAACATGGACAAGCCAATTAGTGCTTATTTAATTTGTAATTAAATTCATTAAAGGTTCCCTTTAAATAATAATGACAAAATATCTCACAAAAAAATGGAAACTGTTCCAATGTTTGGGGCTGCCACTGTACATAATTGCTTCTGAGGAGCAATCTGTTCTTCCTATGACATCAAATATCAATTGGCTCGTTTTTTAATTCCTAGCATCATAAACTCCGGTGATATTCTTGCTTTGTGCAGAACCCTGTGGGACTCACTCTCTCCCAATTCAGGTCCTGTTACTTTCATCCGACACTTGCCTGGAGATGGTTCCCATGACCTAGGCAATTAGACTTCAGACTATCTGCCAGGCTCAGCTCAGCTGCATTCTGCTTTGTGAGTAAATACATGCTAGAGACAAATTCTCATGGAGCTTAGTGCCCATCGCTTAATGAACGCTTTGTGGAAAGTGCCAGAGTCAGTAAGAGAGAGAGAGGCCCTCCAACTTGTAACTCTCCAGCCACATGACTCCATTCTCAGATTCAAGATCCCTTCACTGCCGATAGCTACTCTCTATACTCTTTTCATTCTGAAAACAAAATTTGACTAGATTTTGAAGATGTTATTTTATAAAAGAAGGTACATTATTTAGAAATTCTGGATTCAAGGGGTTCTAAAAATTCTAGATGAATGAGAAAAGATGCAGCTTCAAATAACTTAAAATTGTCCCTGCCTTCTTGAAGTTTAGAATTTGTCCAGACTGAGACTCTTCCTCCAGCAGTTCCAGAGTTGGGAGAATGTGCAGTGTGGCTCAGTGCTAGCCCCAGGTGACAGTTACGGCTCCACCCGTGGTTTGCTGCATCTTTGGGCAGAACATGCCCTGTTTCTTTGTCTTAAATTTAGCATCCACTTGTTTCATAAAAATGCTGAGAACTCAGATAAGATTCTAAATTATCTACAGAGCGTTTTAGATAATGCCAATTCCCGGGTCCCACCATCTGAGATTCTAATTCGGTTGGCTTGGGGCAGCTCAGGAGACTGTATAGCAAGGTGGTTCTGATACTGCTCCTGGGTGGTGTCTGAACCAGAAACACTGATTTACAGAGCAGTGAGCTACCAGTTTTCACCAAATATCTGCCTCAGTGATATCCCCACCACTTGGATCACTGTGGTGGTGTTCAAATTAGGCACCAAATTCTTTGACACTCCCCCCATTGAGAGATGGGTTCCGTGTCCCCGGCCCTTGGATCTACCAGTTCTCTTGAAACACTTGCTCCAGATGCTCCCTCTCAGCTGCCGTGAGGCGAGAAACCCGCGCCACCTGGAGAGCCACAGCAGCGGTCCCAGTTGAGCTCCGCTCTGAATCATCCCAGTGCTGGCACCAGACATTCAAGCGAAGGAGCCTGCAGATAACCCCGCCCCCAGCCACCGAGTCTCCCCAGCCTTCGAGTCTCCCCAGCTGACCCCCAGACGCCACAGAGCAGCGACCAGTCGTCCTCACCATGCGCTGCTCAGATCCCTGACCCATAAAAGCAATTCTGAGAACAAAGGATTGTTGCTGGATGCCACTTAGTTTGGGGATGTTTTGCCCTGCAGTTACGGGAATGGTTATGAAAGTGTTTTCTCAAGAAATATCTACTGAATAGAGAACAGACTGACAGCTGTCAGGGGTGGGTAGCAGAGCTGGGTGCAAAAGGTGAAGGGATTAAGAAGTACACACTGGTAGTTACAGAATAGTCACAGAGACGTAGATTGCAGCAAAGGGAATAGAGTCAGTAACCTAGCGGTAACTGTGTGGGGGGGGAGGTGGGGGCTTGAAACATTAGGGGAACCATTTTGTAAAATACACGATTTGCTAACCACTGCACTGTGCATCTGAAACTAGCACGGAATGATGGTGAATGCAAACTATAATTAAAACATTAAAAAATGTTTAAATTTAATTTAAGAAAAGAAAAGAAATACCTAGTAAAACACACAGTACTTGGAAGGATAAACCGTTTCAAAGGAACACACAAGGTCAGTGTACCCAGCACTGACACAAGGCATCACTGGGTAAAGAGACACACAAGTTGCTTCCAGGAAACTGGAGGCAGAAGGGTGGCCACACCTTGCCTAGAGCATGAGCAAAGAAAAAGGCATGCATCAGACAGACAGATGAGCAGAGCAAAGGCCAGTGTCATTTCGCAACTGTGCTTAAGGTTGGCTGCAAAATCCCTCAGCTCTCTCGCTAACTGCAGAGTTACTTGCGTATGACAGTTTCTTTTCCCAAATGTACTTGCTTAATATTAAAAATCACCTGAGAATCAGACAGTAACAAGCACCAAAGGTAATTTTTACCACTAGGCAAGTGTAGGAAATACTGAATTATAGAAGTTTTAAATTAAATATAAAACAACATAGCAAACGTGGCACCCTCCTCTGAGAATCACAGTTCTATGGTGAATACACGAGCTTGTGTTTATAAAAGCCGTGTAACAAGTTCTTGCAGACTTGAACCCTGAGAATGTTAATTCTCCCAGCGAAGTCCAATTACAGTGATGTACAGGAAGAAGTTGTAAATATTGAAATTCACTTGCTAATCAGACACTACAATTACATTAAATAGTTTAAAATGTAATTGTAAAGAACAGTAAAATATGCAAAACATACAGAATAATTAGCAAATATTTTAATTGATAAAATATAATATTAAGTTAAATATTCATGATCTCATTCAAGCTATTATTCAATGCAATTAAAAATGATGAGCAAGATCTGTAAGCTGGACCCTCTGGCACTGAGAAAAGGACTGGAAATGTCACGCGGAAAGCTGCGCATTGATTCTGCTTTAGTAACTAACACACTACCATGCACATTGTTCCCAGCTTCCCACTTTCCCCATTGTTTTCAGAGAGACTTGAATCTTACTTCAGCTTTTTAATGTAAATACTAGAGTTTTCTTTCCAGGAACACATTTACAGCCTTCTAAAGAAACTGTGGGGAAGCTGTTCTGAGTCATGAATTCCCCATGCAACTGGTATGACTCCCGAGTTCTGCATCTTCAGGAGATTTTCAGGATGCTGGTGTTGATCTATATCATTGAGGAGTTTATTAACCCCAAAACCCTAGTTCCCACAGAGACTGAGAACAATCTTGGCCTCTTTGAGCCTGTTCAAACAGATTTCTCTTGCCTCTTGAGACACTATTAATAGTTAGAGGTGTAGTTTCCCAGAGTAGAATTGACATCTGTCTCTGACTCCAAGAGTTTGTATGTATTGTGATTGATAAAATAGCCCTGACTGGTGTGGCTGAATGGATTGAGGGCTGGCCTGCGAACCAAAGGGTCACTGGTTCCATTCCCAGTCAGGGCACCTACCCGGGTTGTGGGCCAGGTCCCCAGTAGGGGAAGCACAAGAGACAAGCACACATTGATATTTCCCTCTCTTTCTCCCTCCCTTTCCCTCTCTAAAAGTAAATAAATAAAATCTTTTTAGCCCTGGCTGGAATAGCTCAGTGGATTGAGCACGGGCTGTGAACCAAAGTGTCACAGGTTCTATTCCCAGCCAGGGTACATGCCTGGGTTGCAGGCTATAACCCCCAGCAACCGCACATTGATGTCTCTCTCTCTCTCTCTCTCTCTCTCTATCTCCCTCCCTTCCCACTCTAAAAATAAATAAATAAAATCTTTAAAAAAAATCTTTTTAAAATTTTTAAAAAATAAAATAAAATGTCTGCTAAGCAGTTATTTGTATGGATGTTGATGGATATTGGAGCTCTAAGCAATAAAAACAAGAGTCCTTGTGTCTTATCATTTAGAAGACTAATATCCTTTCATAGACCAGTGGCTGTACATAAAGAACTCAGAGTGCGTATTCAGTAGCAGAAAAGAGCCTGTGATCTCCCTGTTAATCTCAGTCCTGTTTGACTTTCTGGCCACGAGCTAGAAGCTCTGGCTGCTCACCACGTCTCTGTGTTATTCTGTTCTCTCCCCATCCCACCCAGGGATGTCTCCTATACCAGTGTTACTGCCCTGCCATCCAAAGGCCTGGAGCACCTCAGGGAATTGATAGCAAGAAACACTTGGACTCTAAAGAAACTTCCACTTTCCTTGAGCTTCCTTCACCTCACACGGGCTGACCTTTCTTATCCAAGCCACTGCTGTGCTTTTAAGAATCAGAAGAAGATCAGAGGGTAAGTGGCAAGTGTCGGGAATAAGTGACAAAAGGCCTCAGAAAAGGTTGAATTAATTTCTGGGTTTGGAGAAGAAGCTCTGTGGTTTGAAAAGCATGTGGGAAGAATTAGAAGCCTCTATAAGAAACATGAAATGCATGGGACACCATGACTGCAGACTCAAAGTGGTTGCAGATAAGAAATAAGGCCAAGGTCAATGGACACAGCAGGGGAGGGGAAGAGAACAGAAGATGACGTAGGAAAGACAGGAATGACCTGATCATGTACAATCTTATCAAGATTACGCTACGGATTCCTGGCCTCCAGATGCAACACGCATTAGATGCCACAGTTATGAAGACAAACTTAGAAACACGAGCAATTGGGTTTCCTGGTCAATAAGGGCTTTGCAAAGGTTACAGCTTACTGGTTACATGTGTGTGGACTTGGGAGTCTGCTGGGTCTGTAGCCCATGTCTGCCTCTTCCTAGCTTCCAGCCTACTCTGTGAATGGAGATCATGATGCTATCATTCACAAAGGTTTTGAGAAGATTACATGTAAAACTGAAAACACCTATCATGACAACCTGGAATATTATAAGCCTTCAATGTATATCATGTTGCGATTAGACTGCTTGTGAGGCTATAAAGGAGGGATGCCCTTTTTTTTCTCGCCATGCTTTCTCTGAATCTTCTCTTCATCTACACTGTCACTCTGCCTTATTTCTGCCTGTGTCTCATGCAATCCCGTTCTCTTAACACCGCCACCATTTATAGCTTATTCACTCTCTCTGTCTCCAAATAATACCTACTGGTTAACTTCTGCACTCATACCTGCATTTGGAAATAAAGTGGACCTAGTAGTGGGGCGGAAGCAAATGGGAAAGTTGAGCAGCTGTGCAGAGGCCAACGTGGGCATAACACCTGCAAAAAACTAGGAGCGGGGTACAGGGGCAATGATAGTGATGCCATAGGAGAGGACCAGGGATGTATAGGAGGCTAAAATGGACCCCAAGGGCAGGGTCCAGATTTCCCATTAACCTCCAAGTGGGCTGGAATAGGCAGCCCACACGGCATTCTAACGCAGTAGATGGAGCAGCATCTGCTCAGCAGCTGCAGCAAGGTAAAGAATCACTTCTGAGGTCAGATGGGGAGGCTAATAATAAACTAAGTCTCACTCCCATCAGCGTGCCTGCATGATAGTGTCCATTTATTCATTTGTTCAATAAATATTTATTGAAGACCTACTATGTGCCTGACACTGTCCTATCCATGGCAATGAATAGGACAGACAAGAGTATTTTATTTACATTCTAGTAGGGGAAGTTAGAAAATAAACAAGCAAACAAATAAGGTATTAGATAATGCTATGAAGGAAATAAACACAAGGATAAGACAATTTATTTAAGGAGATCATGGAAGAACCCTCTGACAGAGGGACATGGAGTTTAAAACTGAATAATGAGCAGAAGTGTGAGTTTTTCAGGCAAAGGGAGCGTGGCATTCCAAAGCTCTGAGGAGGAATAACAATAACCACACATACATGGCACTAACCACATTCTAGGTGCTGTAGAGGAGCTTGAAAAACATGAACTCGTCTATTTCTTTCATAGTCTTATATGAAATAGATACTTTCATGATTCTATTTTTAAAATGGGAGAAACCAAGGTTCACAGACCTACCCAAGGGGAAGCAGCTGGTAAATAAAAGAGCCACGTCCTAACCGAGGCAGACTGGCTCCAGCATCCACGCCTTTTTTCTCACTGCTGTTCTGAAACTGCTTGCAGATGGGAAGTAAGGGCCAATGTGACTGGGGCACAGCAGGGAAGGGGAGGGTAATAGGCAATGACATAGGAGAGAGGAGCCTGCCCAGGTCACGCAGGATCTCATAGAATCATGTAGATCATAGTAAGCGCTCCACATATTTTGCTAAGGGTTGTGGGGACCTTAGTGGGTTTTCAGGAAGCAGTGACTTATTTCTGTTGCCTTGCAGGATCCTTGAGTCCTTAATGTGTAACGACAGCAGTATTCGAAGCCTGCGGCAGAGAAAGTCTGTGAATGCTTTGAATGGTCCCTTCTACCAGGATTACGAAGAGGATCCAGGTGACCACAGTGCTGGGTACAAGGAAAACTCCAAGTTCCAGGATACCCACTCTCATTATTATGTCTTCTTTGAGGAACAAGAAGATGAGATCATTGGTTTTGGCCAGAAGCTCAAAAACCCACAGGAAGAGACCCTACAGGCCTTTGATAGCTATTATGACTACACGGTGTGTGGGGGCAATGAAGACATGGTGTGTACCCCCAAGTCAGATGAGTTCAACCCCTGTGAAGACATAATGGGCTACAAGTTCCTGAGAATTGCGGTGTGGTTTGTTAGTCTGCTGGCTCTCCTGGGCAATGTCTTTGTCCTGCTCATCCTCCTCACCAGCCACTACAAACTGACCGTCCCACGTTTTCTCATGTGCAACTTGGCCTTTGCAGACTTCTGCATGGGGATGTATCTACTGCTCATCGCCTCTGTAGACCTCTACACTCACTCTGAGTACTACAACCATGCCATCGACTGGCAGACAGGCCTCGGGTGCAACACAGCTGGTTTCTTCACCGTCTTTGCCAGTGAGCTGTCAGTGTATACACTGACCGTCATCACCCTGGAGCGCTGGTATGCCATCACCTTCGCCATGCGCCTGGACCGGAAAATCCGCCTCAGGCATGCATCTGCCATCATGATTGGGGGCTGGGTTTGCTGCTTCCTGCTTGCCCTGCTCCCTTTGGTAGGAATAAGCAGCTACACCAAGGTTAGCATCTGCCTGCCCATGGACACCGAGACCCCTCTTGCCCTGGCATATATTATCCTCGTTCTGCTGCTCAACATAGTTGCCTTTATCATCGTTTGCTTCTGTTACGTGAAGATCTACATCACAGTCCGAAGTCCCCAGTACAACCCAAGGGACAAAGACACCAAAATTGCGAAGAGGATGGCTGTCTTGATCTTCACTGACTTCATGTGCATGGCCCCCATCTCATTTTATGCTCTGTCAGCACTTATGAACAAGCCTCTCATCACTGTTTCCAACTCCAAAATTTTGCTGGTTCTCTTCTATCCACTTAACTCATGTGCCAATCCATTCCTCTACGCTATTTTCACCAAGACCTTCCAGCGAGATGTATTTATTCTGCTCAGCAAGTTTGGCATCTGTAAACACCAGGCTCAGGCATACCGGGGCCAGAGGGTTTCTCCAAAGAACAGCACTGGTATTCAAGTCCCAAAGGTCACCCAAGACTTGAGGCAAAATCACCCCAACATGCAAGATGACTATGAACTGCTTGAAAAATCCCATCTAACCCCAAATAAGCAGGGCCAAATTTCAAAAGAGTATAAGCAAACAGTTTTGTAAGGTGACCCTACACTCACCACTCACTGTTGTAGGGGGGCTTAAAACATGCTGGTTTCTTGAACATGCATTCCAAACCCTCGACACACATGACAGCTCACTAACTCTTGTGCAGGTGACATTTCACTAGGCAAGAATTCATCTCTTGAGAGGAACTAGCATTAACCTAATCATCAACCCCAAGAAGGAAGAGAGGCTACCAGCATGTCTGAACCCCTGGTAATATCAAAATAATCTATACTTTGGAAGGCTTTGCTTGATGCTAAGTGCAGAGATGACATTATGTAAGATGCTCAACAGCTGTCAATTCATCCACATCAACACCGACCTTCTTACTGTTATACAGTATTTCATACAAAAGATTCAGCAAATGGCAAAGGGTTACCTTGGTTGGCAGTCACAAAATAAATCAGCTACATGTTGGCTCAGTCCGAGTTCATGTCCTGATACAACCAAAGAGAGTTTGAGTTCCTTGAAAGTGAAAAGTCAAACAGGACATCACACAACGAATGGTTATTTTGAGACCTGAATGAAGGAGGGGAAAGTCTTAGCTTTGAGTTGATTTTTTCAGACTCTGAAACTACTTTTTAAAATTTTATTTTAATTGTTGTTCAAGTACAGTTTTCTGTCTTTTACTCCCATCCCAGACCACTCCCCCAACCCTCACCACCTCCCTCCCATTTCCACCTGCCCCCCTAGTTTTTGTCCATGTGTCCTTTATACTTGTTCCTGTAAACCCTTCCCCTTTTCTCCTGAAATTCCCTCCCCTCCCCTCTCTGGTCATTGTCAGCCTGTTCAGTGTCTTTGGTTATATTTTGCTTGTTTGTTTGTTTTGTTGATTAGGTTCCTGTTAAAGGTGAGATCATATGGTATTTGTCTTTCACTGCCTGGCTTATTTCACTTAGCATAATGCTTTCCAGTTCCATCCATGCTGTTGCAAAGGGTAGGAGCTCCTTCTTTCTTTCTGCTGCATAGAATTCCATTGTGTAAATGTACCATAGTTTTTTGATCCATTCATTTACTGATGGACACCTAGGTTGCTTCCAACACTTGGATATTGTAAATTGTGCTGCTATGAACATTGGGGTGCGTAGGTTCTTTTGGATTGGTGTTTCAGGGTTCTTAGGGTATAATCCCAGCAGTGGAATTGCTGGGTCAAAAGGCAGATCCATTTTTAGTTTTCTGAGGAAATTCCATACTGTTTTCAACAGTGGTTGTAACAGTCTGCAATCCCACCAGTGCACTAGGGTTCCCTTTTCTCCACAACCTCTCCAACACTTATTGTTTGTTGCTTTGTTTATGATGGCCATTCTGACTGGTGTGAAGTGGTATCTCATTGTGGTTTTAATTTGCATCTCTCTGATAGCTAGCAATACTGAGCATCTTTTCATGTGTCTCTGGATCCTCTGTATGACCTGTATTCAGAAAACTACACAATATTGAAGAAAGAAATCAAGGAAGATACAAACAAATGGAAACATATACCGTGTTCATGGATTGGAAGAATTAACATCATCAAAATATCCATACTACCCAAAGCAATTTACAGATTCAATGTAATATCTATTAAAGTACCAATGACATATTTCACAGACATAGAACAAACATTTCAAAAATTTATGTGGAACCATAAATGACCCCAAATAGCTGCTGCAATTTTGAGAAAGAAGAGTAAAGTAGGAGGGATCACAATACCTGATACCAAACTGTATTACAAGGCCACTGTAATCAAAACAGCCTGGTACTGGCATAAAAACAGGCACAGGGACCAATGGAACAGAACAGAGAGCCCATACACAGAAATAAACCCAAGTCTCTATGGTCAATTAATATTTGACAAAGGGGACAGCAACATAAAATGGAGTAAAAATAGCCTCTTCAATAAATGGTGTTGGAAGAACTGGACAGCTACGTGCAAAAAAATGAAATTCAAACACCAACTTACACCATACACAAAAATAAATTCAAGGTGGATAAAAGATTTAAATATAAACTGTGACACCATTAAAGTCCTAGAGGAGAACATAGGCAGGAAAATCTCAGATATCTAATGCAGCAACATTTTTATTGATATGTCCCCTAGAGCAAGGGACATAAAGGAAAGAATAAACAGATTGGATCTCATCAGACTCTGAAACTATTCATCATCTCTTCACAAGGACCTACCTGATGTGACCCAACTGTAATATGCTGCCCAGAAAAACTGGCAGGAGTTCAGCTTATGCGGCCAAGCCAACAAAGAATTGCTCATCTTGGCTAGTCTGGTAGCCTAAACGATATGAACTCAAGAAATGTTTCTAAGTAGCAACAAGTGGGAATTATGAGCAGAGCACACTAAATCACCCACTGATTAATAAGGCAGGCTGGACACCAGGTAACTGTTGAACCTTGGGCAAGTCACTGGGCCTTGGAAGTCTGTAGAAATGAAAAACTTGATGGCCTCTTCCAGTTTTAAAACTTCACATAGATCTCTTTCCCTAAAAACATATGTTTCCATGACAAAGAGAAAGAAAATCATTCAGGAAGAAAATTCTATTGTTCTCTCCTATAGGGCTGCTGTGTCCTTCTCTCTGGAGCCAAGACAGATGACCCAGGGAACATTTCATTGGTTTCATTTTTGGTTATGGTATCTCTACCAAAAATTCTTTTGAATTATAATATTGGGCTGAATCTGAGTCACTCATCTAATTACTAGGTCTACACAGCTATAATTATCAGGCCAAAAACAGATTGGTATTCATATAATAGAATAAAAGGTAGTTCTGCACATTTTGGTTATTTAGAATTACTCTTTCACTGTGCAGATTCACTTGAAAACATTTAACTTGCCTTCAGGGATTGGTTACTTTACTTAGCTGTTTCCAACCCACAATACAGTATTAAAGCTAACGAGAGAGACTTCTTCTCTCAGAAACTACCAGATCTCTCCAACCTTGTTGATCACTGGACATAGAATTTCTACTCCAACAGTGCTCCCTTACTTAGAATGGTCAGGATCTTTATCTGTGGATGTATTCTCCAAGTTATCTGTCAAGGCGGCCCCTAATTCCATCCCAAGCAGAGATGGCATTTAGTTCTCAGTGTTCACGAACCAACCACCCATGAATTAAAACCACACCATGAATCAAAAGATTTTGTTGTTTTAAGTATGTGGAGTAGGGTTGGTGGGCCCAGTGGATCCCCAGAGGTGACCCCCCAATTCACCTGGAATCTGCAATAGCCATACCTACTTCTGATTATCACTGCAACTGGGATGTCTTCATAGAAATGTCATACATACCTAAAATCATGATTTATCCACCAGTTCACTTGCAACTAATAAAATTAAACAAATATGTTACCTTTTGGCAAGAGACTTCTCACCTGTGACCTTTTGAAATGTTACATCTTGATAAGGAGTGTGTTTTATCTTGAGAAGTTGAAATGGGGCTTTGATAACAGTCCTAGAAAAGTAAATTCAACAGAATTGTTACTAAAATTTGCATTAACAACATGAAATAAATTTTCTTCCTAGGAAATGACTGTGTTGGGTCCTAGAGTATTGATTTTTGGAATTTGTGAGCTTTTTTCAGGGTTACCATTATATGTGTTAAAACTAAAAACAGGAAAAGACAATTGGCACATTTACTAATAAATCCACTTTAATAAATAACTTATTAACAATAACTTCATTCCAACATTTTATACTGATGATAATGGTCTTTATATGAAAAAAAAAACATTAAATTATGATATATTGACAAGCTGTGATGGCTAAGGGAAAAATATGACTAGTATTAATGCTAGGAATACGAATAGCACCTAACCGAATATAATAAATCTATAAGACCTGGTCAGAGTTCACTTTATCTGGTGGCTTTTAACTATCTGAAAATAGACCCAAATCGGTGAGGACAAATGAGCTCAGGCCTGTCACAACAGATGTCACAAAATGCATGTCCTAAAGTGTATGCATCACTCCAAAGAATGTCTCTCAAAACACTCTCAAAGTTAATCGGCCCTTGCTTTACAGATAATCTGCTACATACCACCAGCAGCCAGTGGGAGGAAGAGAATGTACTTCAGGGCAGTACTTTGAGAGTGGCAATAAGGTAACCGTGAGGGCCAAAGATGAAAGCTGTAATCATGAGAATTCAAAACAACAGCAGTTTGAGAACAAATATTCTTAACTGCTTGAAGTCTTTGGGGGAAAACAATGTATTATAACACAGTAGAGTGATTCTTATCTAGTCTGGTACCTAAAGGGACAAGGAAAACTTGGGGGTAGAAAAGCATTCTGTTTTGAAAGATATGAAAGTTCCATCTCAAAGCGGTGGACTGAGTCCCAGCATCTACCAGCCTTCCTCTTTCAAATTCCTCAGACGTGACAGTGAAGAAGTACAGAATGGGATTACGACAAAACTATGCTCTGAACAGGGGGAACAGCTCCAACAACAGACGGAAGTCTGTTGTGGCCTGAAAGATGGAAAGTCTATGGTGCTGAGTTGATGGATAACTTTGGGCTGAAAAAGCTGCAGCCTAGAACACACATAGAATAAGGCTACAGCTGTGGATGGGTCCTCTCTGCAGATTCCCAGAGAGACCCAAGCCTGAAAGTCACAGACTGAGGGGCTAATCAGGGTAAGTAATTGCAAGTCTACCTCACTTGGACCCACCCATCCTCTCTCACTCCAGTCAGTTAGAACAACTGACACACCTTAGTGTTAGCCCCAGGCTGAAATCAGAAACTGATCTTAAAAACCGGGATGGTTGATGTAGATAGAGCTAAGTTCCTGGTCTCAGGCAGAGGACAGGGGGCAGGAAACCAGCCCACTTTCCCATTTCCTGCTCTCACATCATACAAGGAAGCCTGGACGCAGGCACAGAGGCATCAGCGCCGGCCCCCTGTTGGGAAAGGTGTGCTGGGGGAGAAGATACACACCATCTGCTCACATTAACCATCCTCATTCTTCACTCAGAAATATAAATGAACCACAAGAATTACCAGACACTTGAGGGAAATAAACCTCACATCAAAAGCACACACAAAAAAGAACAACTTGAACAACAGAACATTTTACCAGAAAAAAAAACATATGGTCCAAAAACAGAGTATTTTTTTAATTCTAATTAGTAACATGAGAGAAATTTGAGAAATACTCAGCCCTAAAATGAAAGCAAGCTATTATTTTTTAAAAGTAGTAATCTGTTGGGAACCACATTGCCTGGTTTCAGAAGGTGTAACTTCCCCATGGCTAAGGCTGAGTGAGCGACCTTCAGACCATAAGCCACTAAGGACTCAAAGCTTGTCTCCCTGGCAGGGGCACCACTTCTGCTCCTTTTCTTCACCCTGCCTGACCCCCAGTGCTTGATCCATTAGCCAATGACAGGTACGATTCCACAAGGGAGGGATGATCTAAGACAGGCATAATCACAGGAGGTCCCAAGGGAAGGACTTGGGGGCTACAGAAAAAGGGGGTGATGGATCCTCACCCCTGGGCTTTGACATAGCCTGAGTCCTCATTCTGTCTGCAAGAAGTCTCCTAATCTCTTGGCTGCCTTACTTCCCTGCCTGACTTAAGCCTGAAATAATGCCTTAAGCATGAAACTGCTGGAGGTGGGTGCCACCCTGTCCTAGAAAGGGAGGGGGGTTCCCCAGCGAGATCAGGCCTAAGAAAGAATG